ATTGATCCAACAACTTGAGTAAATTAAATCGGTCGAGCCACAACGTAAATTTAAAGTTTACTTACTACCTTCCAAATATCTTGCTGCATTAAGGGGAGGAGATATATTACACTCGTACTATTCTTAAACGTTATATAATTACTTTCATAATATACTTAATTTCCTACTTTCCTACTTAATTTCGGTGTATAGTTTTTAACATATCATATGAAAATAAAACATATATGAAAGTTAATGGATATAAGAGTAGACGGAGACCATAAAATCATGGACGGATTCTGTCAGAGATGGTTATGCGTAATAATTGTTTGAAGAGATGACGATTAATAAAAGAGAATAGAAGAGAAGACATGCTCTGAAAATTACCTTAGGAAAAGGGTGGGAAGAAGAGGTCTTTAACTTCACAGTTTCATACGAAACTTGTTTTAATTGTAAAACTGGTAATGTAAAGTATTCTATCGAGATATTTTCGAAAATAGTAAGCTACGGTTTAACTCCAATCGGAATATTAATGCGATTCTTGATGGCAAGTTGCATTTTTTTATAAAAAACCGAACCGGAATACGACGGATTCGTAGATCGTTCTAAAATATCTAATAGATTCTTTTTAAATAATATGACACATTTTATTAATATCCGGATCAGTATGCAAAAGTGGCAATGGGCCGGCCATATAACTTGAAGAACGGACGAAAGACTGAGGGTTCCCTTGTGATTCAAAACCGTGCTTTGTGGCATTTTTTGGGAGAGTTCTATGTTCAGCAATGGACTTGTAAAGGGATTTAATGATGATGATAACGATGATAAATTTGGTGAATAAAATACTTGGTGAATAAAATACTTGGAATTTATTATTTTATAAATATGCTCTATAATAACATAATTATGTTATAATAAGCATCTTTTGTATCTAGTTATATTTTCAAATAAAAATAGTTCCTAAACAAACGATATATACAACACGTAACATAATTAATGCACTTTGAGAAAGTAGTTTGTTCAGAATCCTTTACTGAATCGATTCCTATCATTTTTAATGTAGGTAATTTTTTATCCCAAAAATAATTAAAACTACGTAAATTACAGTCACACTAAATCTGTACAGTCAAAACAAACTGAAATGGACCGTAACTTAAGGCAATAAGACTTTTAAGAGTGCAGTTTTATTTGTATTATTACCAATTCTGTCATTCAATAAAAATAAAGAAAAATGAACTTTATTTCAAGCACGTTAAAGTCTTTGCGTTCGTGGATTTGTACTGTGACCACAACATTCTTCCGGAATTAGTATAACTAATTTGATAAATAATCAGTGCATAAAAATGTTTAACTAAAAATTCAGTGTATGTATTATGATTATAACATAATATACTAATTGGGGTGTCTGAGGGTGTGCGTTAATTACGTTACATATTGTATAATATATGACATATTTTAATGTATGAAAAATCATTAAATTTCATGATTTTAAATATTCTACAGTAAAATACATCAATTGCGTCACGTCAAAATCAGAGCAACCTTCGTAATGGATACGTGCCAATAGCCCGCCCCGCGTGAATACCCGCTTATGAGTTACGGTGGAATCCGCCTCACGGCGAAGTAGATCAATTGTCTGTAGAGAGCGACGGGTGTATTTTTCAATGCTGACGTGTTATTTGAACGCCCCACCACTTCATCATTCATGTATGTTGTTAACATTCCCCCGGTAATGTTGTATAACGTTTAAGATTTAAGGCTTTTTCCGACCCAGTTGCGAAATAGGAAATGTTTAAGTAAACGCTTACGACTTCGTGATTGGATTTCGAATGGAATGCATAATATAAATTGAATTTCCAGCACTATAACCAGCATTATGACAATGAAATAGAGTTTATTTTATTGGACATACATTTTTCATAAACTATCCAAACCACACTCTATGATTTGATAGGACATTGACAGTCTCGTTGATTGAGTGGTTACACAAGTGATAACTATGTGATCTAGGGTTTGAAACCCGGAAAAATTAGTTTTTTAAAGGATAAGGTGACAAATGAGCACACAGTCCACCTGATGTTAAGTGTTTGCTGTGGCCAATAGACATATTATAGGCGAATTCGCCCTTGAACTCTTTATTGAACATGTAGCATCGTAATCATCAATTTAATATCTAGAGAAGAGAGAAAAATATTAGTATCTTAACTCGTGGATATTTAGCCGGACGCGAACAGAAGCAGAACGCAATTTGCTAACTTATTTCAGTGGGAAGTCGAAAATTATCCGCAATCAATCGGACAAAAGGAGAAAATGAACGAACTTATTCCAGTAAGGTCGGACAATTTATCACTGGAATCGTTTGTTTTGTCGGACATGAGCTATTGTTTACGATTGTATAGCGAGCTCCGGCTCAGATGGCAGTGATTAAGCGCAGCGACCAATTCAGCGGATGCGGCGCTTCTTTATTTCAATGTCAGCGGATCACTAGTTACAGATTACTGCTCAACCACATTGTTGCGAATGCTATGGTGAACATAAATCTGTTATTTTTTTTAATTTTATATATTACGTAGGCGAGCGGCGCGTTGCTGCCGCAGAAGAAATAATTGTGGTTATATCGTTTGACATTTGAAAGAGAATTATATTGTTTAATTAGGAATAACAATACAATCAGTGGGCAGAGGTATATGGATTAATTTAATTATAATTAGTTAAAGATGTTACTCACATAGTTAATAGATTATTTTACTAACCCATATGGATCGTGGTCCGAAATAAATGATATTTCGGACCACGGGGTATCAATAAAGTTTTCATCTGGTTGGGTTCTATAAATACATAATTATAGATGGAAATGAAAAGATAAATATACATAAATATCAATAAAATTAAATAAATATAAAAATAAATAAATAAATGAAAGTCCAACCAGATGGAGGCCCTCGGCAGGGGAGACCAAACGGCCGAGGGTTAGGGGGAAAGGGAAAGAAACCGGCGGACGATGCGGGCGGTATCGAGGAGCACCGCTTTCTGCATTTGAGCCAGGAGCGGTCCGCCACGTAGTCCCAGCCGCCTCAGATGACCCGAGAGGCTGACTGGGATTAGCCCGTTTGCAGAGACGACTACAGGAATAATTTCGGTCGGCAGACCACCCCACATGTCGGTCACCTCGTGAGCCAGGTCCAGATATTTTGTTCGTTTATCTGTTTCGGCTTTCACGAGGTTCTCGTCATACGGAATGGTAATGTCGACCAAAAATATCCTTGACTGTGCCCTGTCCATCAGTACAATATCAGGCTTATTTGCAAGAATAGTCCTGTCTGTGATGATGGCTCGGTCCCAATAGAGCCTGGCGCGATCATTTTAGAGCACAGCTTCCGGCAAGTACTTGTAATACGGCAATTTCCGATCCACGAGACCGTATTTCAGAGCAAGCTCCTGGTGAAGAATTCTAGCTACTAGGTTGTGTCTGTGCAAGTACTCAGAGTTAGAAAGCGCCGAACAACCGGAGATGACATGCCTAAGTGAGTCACCGGGATGGCGACAAACTCGACAGATGTCGACGGTGCCATCCTTTAGGATGTATCTCCGATAGTTGTTGGTCTTAATAACCTGATCTTGTATTGCACAGACAAAACCCTCGGTTTCCCCGAAGAGGTCACCAAAGCGTAGCCAGTGGAGGGAGACTACTGCGTCTACGAAAGGCTCATGTAGAGCCTTGTAGAACCTCCCGTGGAGCTCCTCCTTCCATATGGTCTCCCGGTCGGAAATGCTCTGCACTGCCGGGTCTTGCCATTGCTCGTTGGCTAAGGATAAAGGGGTAAGTCCTTTATCACAAGAAATGACGTCCTTATAGAATGGATCATCCGATCTCGCCAGGAAGTAATCACGGAGGCTGCACACTTCGCGATTACGCATGGCGAGCGCGCTTAGGAAGCCACCGCCACCATGCTTTCGCGGCAAGTACAGCCTCATTACCGACGATCTCGGATGATGCATCCTATGGGACGTCATGGTAGTGCGGACTTTTCTATCTAGGGCGTTAAGTTCAGTCTGAGTTCACCTGAGTGTGCCAAAGGTATACATGAGTACAGGCATGACCCAGCAGTTATATGCGTGTGCCTTATTCACACCGGACAAAAGGCTGTTAAGCACTTTGGTCAAGCGTGCATAAAACATGTCGCAAACTGACTGTTTCATACCAGCCTCATCGATACCGATGTTCTGTGACATACCCAGGTATCGGTATGTTTCACCCTCGGAAAGGGTTCTTAAGTTAACGGGCATAGATAAGTCTATGCCCTCAGTTAGTAACTCTTCCCCTTTCAACATGGAGGACCGCACACTTATCCGTCCCCAGCTCCATTCCAATGGAATTGCTAAAAATAAAAAAAAAAAAAAATAACCCCCGGGAAGGAGCCCCCCAATCAAAACACCCCACCAAGAAAAACAAAAACCACCTTCACAAGTGATGTTTAGCAATTCCATAAGATGGGAGCGACTAGAGGCCAATAACTTGAGGTCATCCATATAGAAAAGGTGGGTCACTTTTGTCCCTCCTTTCCGTAGCTGAAATCCCCTCCCGGAGCCCTCCAGTAAGGTACTGAGAGGGTTCAGAGAGAGGCAGAACCAGATTGGACTCAGACAATCGCTTTGGAAGATACCCCTTCTTATCCTTATGTGGTTCTCCGCAGCCATCACCCACTCGCCCAAATGACAAAGGATCGTACTCCACTGCCCCATACACTGCTCGAGGAAGTTTCTAACTGTACAGTCTATCTTGTACAGCTCGAGGACTCTCTTTAGCCATATTTGGGGCACCGAGTCGAATGCCTTTTTGTAGTCTATCTAGGCGGCGGAGAAGTTGCGACGGTTGCGTTTCATCACTTTGCCAATGACCGCGTCAATGAGGAGTGGTTCCTTGGTTCCACGACCACCGCCCCGACATCCATTTTGACATCCATTTGACATCACCTGATTTGAGTCCAGGTGACGAGTGATTCTCGCGCTCAAAATGGATATTAGTGTCTTGTATATGGTCGGTAGACACGTGATGGGGCGGTATTTGCTCGGGTCTGTGGTACCCGGGTCTTTAGGAACTTTTGGGTGATCCCAGTAGTGAAGAGGCTCGAGAGCGACTTCTGGTTGAGAGCCTCTTGAAACTGTCGGGCGAGCACAGTGTGACACACCACGAACCCCTCCAGCCAGTAGTGATGCAGCCCGTCGAGTCCCAGGCTTTTCCAGTTCGAGGCTCTACGGACCGTCTCAGCTACGTCATCCGGTATTATAATGACGGGGTCCATGGGCGTTATACTCGCACTCGCACATGGGCCCTCGCTGTGGTTTACGGGCTCGGACCACAGGCCGCGCCAGAATGCTACAGTGTCGGCCTGATTCGGTGCTGGGCCCGTTCCACTTACCATTGGTCGCTCCAATGATTAATAGAGCCTCTTCTGATCACTCTGGAAGAGACGATTCTGGTTGAATCTTGTCGAGCTCTCGGTATATCGCCGAATCCGCTTTCCCCAAGCAGCGATTCTCTGTTTCAGATCATCTATGCGCTCCGTCAGTTTTTGCGTTATATCCGGCTGGGACAAACTGACATTTGTGCCAGCAAACGCCATCCTGACGGTGCGCACAATTTTTGGCCTGTTATTGCCTGATCTGAAGCATATCAGTCTGCCGATAAGAGCTCTAGCCTTTGCGATATGTTCCTCAATTCTTCTTCTCCATGCGGGGATAGCGCTATTTTGGCCAGTAGCGCGTCCAGCCGTGGAAACCTTGACACCTATGATACGGCAGACTGCCAGCGTGGCGCCAAAAAGAATTGAGTCCGTCTCGCAAAGGTCCCGGCTGGCTTCCAAATAGGTCACCAGCATTGGGTTCAGAAGCCTCATCGGGAAGAATATGCGTGCTTAGAGGAATGCGGGGAAGTCGCGGTCGATTTTCGAGAGGCGTACTGCGCGTTTCCACAATCTCCTCTTCCAATGTACTCCTCATATGCTCTAATTCCAGTTTCTGGGCGACTGTTCCATCATCGTTTAAATCAACCACAACTGGCGTATTCACGGCGGCATCCACGTTTGCGGGGTGCTCTACAATTTGTGGCGCCGCATCCTCAGCCGTAGCATTTTCATCCGATGAGGGAACAGTCTCACGTCGTAGCCGTTCGAGTTCGGCGACATCAAATATATTTGAGCGCAAGATATACCGAACTCAGTCTGCCAGGTTTTGCTCTGTGACGGTTAAAGATGGCTCCAGCTCAGCAAAACATCCAGTTTCTTCCCCTTTTGCCCTAAAGTACGCCCGCAGTAAAGAAAAGAAGAAAAGAAAAAATATTTATTTTTGACACACACAAGGCACCAGAACACAGAAACAATCAAAACAAAAAAAAGTTACAATTTATGAACAACCAAACAGCCTGTTAAAATTAGGAAAAAAAATTATACATAATATATATTCTTAAAACTATTCTACTGCCTCAGGGTGATGCCAAAAGATAGGAACCAATTCAGCATGATGTCAGGTTGGAAACCTAACGCTGATTTTATATTGGCCCCCTAAATTGCATTCGTCTTTACCTCTAAAACCAGTTACCGTGTACTTCCGCAAGAACAATCAGTATACGTGAACTCTTTGAAAAAAAACATATATAATTACTTATATAATAAACGATTAATAAAATATGTATATAATATATGACAGGATACTAATTAAATACTTTAATATTAGCAAGATACTGCGCGTGAAACTGTAACAACATAATAACATCAGCAAAAAATAAAAAATGAAATAAATTAAAATAAAATATAGAACATAAAATGTACCTCTCAAATAAACATCAGATATAGGACATGGTAGCATTAGTGTTAACCATGCCTAGGTATTTTTGTGCATTTAATAAGTACTGTTTTAGGTGACTTTCAAAGGTAGTTATAGAGCATAGCTGCCTTAGAGTTGGTGGTATGTTATTCCATATTTTCGAGGCTGCATAGCGAAATGCTCCCTTGAAAGATGCCGATTTGTGCTTTTGTACCGAAAGTTGCTGCGAGCACTGTCTTCTATCACACTGCCTCCTTGTAGCAACCCAGCCAAGTTTATTATACAAGTAAGATGGTTCTTGATGTTTTATGACGCCAAAAAGCAAGCATGCCAGATGCAATTTCTGTCTCGACTTCATTTTAAGCATTGCGTGATCATTAAAAAACGGAGTGACGTGCCCCCGAAAAGGAACTGTGAAACAAAAACGGGCGCAAGCGTTTTGAACGTGCTTTACGAGCCGCTTCGTTCTGGCCAGTAGTCGTGGACCGTACACAGCATCAGCATAATTAAGCTTGGATAAGACTAACGTCTCCACCAGCTGTACACGCAATTCCTCCGACAAATACGGCCTAATTTTATATAACACTTTGAGCCGGTAGAAGCAATTTTTGACAGCTTCGGCAACATGTTCCTCAAACCGTAAGCCCTCATCAAGCTTTAAACCTAAGTTCCGTGTTATGTTTACCCTTTATACTATCTTTCCCTTCAGTACAATGCCTAAATCTTCCGGTAATTTATTTAATTGATTCTTTGTCCCAAATATCATATAATTAGTTTTATCAAGGTTTAATAGTAAACAGTTATGCTCAGACCACACAGTGACACGTTTTAAATCGTCATTTAGATCCTTAACTGCTGTTTCCCATTGACTGGGTTTGAACGAGATGTAAAGTTGTGTGTCGTCTGCATACATATGATACTGACATTTTACAAAATTTTTTGGTAATTCCGCACAATAAAAGCTAAAAACAATAGTACGTTTACGTTCATTGTTTGTGACCAACGCATGCGATATGCTCCACCAGCGGCGGGTGCCGCTTGCTGTGTCCGAAAAGACCCAGCCGACACCAAGCCTTCTGGTGGGGATGATGGATGCTGAGGGCTGCTAGGTGACCGTGTAGCTCCTCGCGCTCGGCTGGCGGCCCGCATGCTGCCGCGTCCAGCGCCAGCTTCAGACGCGCCCCGGCGACCCTCAGGCAGCGGCCCTATGCGCATTCCTCTTTGTGCCATCATCCATTTTATGGGCGCCAAATAACGGGAGATGCCCAAGCCCGGCACCGTTTCGTGGTTATTATTATTATTATTAAAATTGAATGATATATACCTTCATTTAAATATATCAATACAGTATACGCGCCACCTCCTGTAAGTTAATTATAATATAGTAACATTATAGCAAGTGCAAGCAATAAGTTGATAAAGTTTTACCCCAATCTGGTGAACGATATTGTCATAAAATATGAACAAACAAAGAACATTAATTTTTATATTTTATATACGTGGCAGAGCTATGCTGTAGTTATATTAGTAGTATAGTTGTAGCATGAATAGATCGGCTCAACGGGAGAAGGACCACGCTGTCACAGAATACCAGCGTATAATAGTAGCTTAATGCTGCTGTGTTTCGTATGGTAAGTGTATAGAACGGGAGACCCTTTTTACAGGAAACGAGGCATTCCATCTTAGTCTTTACAGATGACAACGCATGTGCATTTTGATTCGTAGTCGAGGATAGATGTAGATGTTCATGGGTCACGGCAACCACTTACCATCAGGTGGACTGTGAGCTCGTTTGTCACCCTATCCTATAAAAAAAATTAAGATCATTTGCACTAACGCGGTTTTAGTTATAATATTTAAAACATCGGCGTTTCTGTTTTTTTTTATAAGGCTAAAGTGACAAAGGAATTTGCAGTCCACCTGATGGTAAGTGGATACAGCAGTCCATGGACACTTGCAGCCAACTTCACACAACAACGGCTGCCACTTCTGAGGACTAAGATGGAACGCCTCGTAGCCTAAAATTACACTAGCTCTCCTTAGCCTTCAGACTGGAACACAACAGTGTCAGCGTTTCTATTGGGCGGCAGCACAAAGTTTGAGGGTAGTTCATGCCCAGACGGACTCTTAGACAGAAGAAAAGAGTCCTGCCGCGTGAGGTTTTTTACTTATTATAAGCCAGTTTTTACTTATTATAAACAATGAATAGAGATCGTTAATTTGACGATGTTTACAAATAAACTGCGATACCATTTTATAATTTGGTCATATCGTAAAATAATTTCATAATTCACCGCTAGCGTCGCTGACAGCGCAATCAGATAGACCGCTAGCTATCACCGGGATGATTTTTTTATGGAATAGGATGACAAACGAGCCTACAATCCACGTGGATGGTAAGTGGATTTTGTGGCCCATAGACATCTACATTTATCCTAGATTAAGAATCAAAATGCAGATGCGTTGTCACCTGTGAGGACTAAGGTGGAATGCCTCGTTTCCAGTAAAAAGTGTCTCTGGTCCTCTACACTAAACACACGAAACACAGCAGCGTTGAGCTGCTATTTTACATTGGTATTCTGTGAGAACGTAGTCCTACCCTACATTGGATTGACTACAATCCAGCCAGGTTGTAGTTGATGATTAACCCCTAGACTAATCTCACTATCTTCGCGTAACCAAAACATATTCTTGCCTTGAAGATTGTAATCTGACGGAAATACAGACTCTAGCCAATTGTTCTACTCCATTGCTGAACGTATTACAAAAGTATGCGTTGAATATACACAACAGGGTCAAGACCTACTGACCATCTGGTTGTCTGATAGTGGAAAGAGGAGGGAAGAATTAAGGCATGTAATTATTGCGCACTCTCCCCATAATGTATCCTGTAGAATATCGACAGTTTGGTTACTGTGCGCCTTGCTCGAGGCTGACAAAGTTAATTTCAACCAAATCAAGGAAGGACATTAATAAACTATGACAACTGGACGTCAAACTCCTTAGTGCCTCCCGTGACGTTTTGGAAAGTGCGCAAAAACGTCGGGAATTAAAAAAGTTATAATTAAACGCGATGAAATCCATAAAACAAGTTTTATTCCACATTAATAAGCCTTTTATAATGCCTCTTCACAGACTTCCACGCTGTTTCGTTGTAATATGCAGCATCAGGCTAAATGTAACAGCAGTACTCCATGCACGACCGAACTTGCGCTTTATAAGGGTAGGAAACTGCCTCGTCGAGAAATGCCGCCGCACACTTGCAATGACACCTATTTTAATTGCAGCTGTTTCTTTAAAAATAAAAGTAGTGAGGAAAAACGAGAAATTGTTCCCCTGATGAGGATGTTGTAGCCCAGAGACACCTACATCTATCATCGGTAACATTCAAAACACAGATGCGTTGCCTTGGGCACTAAGAGAAATAATAATATATTACTAATTTAAAAAATCTTCGGTTCTCTACATTCACCATAGGGAACACAGCAGAATTAAGCTATTATTTTAATATGGTATTTTGTAAAAGCGTGGCCCTTCTCCGCCCCAATACATTCTTGCTACACGCATAATAGTGCTGCAGCGTGGCTCTACCACGTTCGTC